TGGCAGCTGGGGTGGGAGGACAGCAAGGGGCAGGGGGCCTGACCAGGACGCACAAACTGGTTTCTGAAGCCCACGGGGATCCGAGGGCACATTTTCCCTGGGAGACAGCTGAGAGCGGGAGAGCAGAGTTTTCTGTGACTCATCACAGGAGTGATGGTGACGCCCTGTCATGCCCTGTGCCCTTGTATGTAGGCCGGGTTGGGGAGTGGTGCCCCGGCCTCTGAGAACTGCTGGTTTCTGTGTGTGTGTGTGGGGGGGGGGGTCCTGCCATCGCTCTGAGCACTCCCTCTTCTTCTGAGAACACAAGTGCCCCGTGCACAGTGCATCTGGGCCAGCGCCACCCTCTCCTGTGGCCCAGGTTAGATAGGTGCCTCTTGCCGCCGCCGAGAGCCTGAGGACCCTCTGCTCTTGACTCAGTTTGTCAAGGAGCCTCTCGGTCTGAAGAAGCAGAGATTCTCAGCTGAAAACTTGGGCCCAGAACGCCCGGCCCCGGAGCCAGCATGCAGGTCTCACGTGGGGAGGACGCCCGGCCACCTGGTCGAGTGATGCACGCAGGTGGGCGTCAGCATTGTGTCCGAAAAGCCCAGCCCTTCCTGGAAGCAGGACCCTCCTGAGTGCAGGGCCCGGGGCGGCCCGGGAGCCGGCGAGGGTGCTGGCATGGACCGAGGGGCGTTGGCACGCAGACTAGAGAACAAGAACGTGCCCTCTGGCCACTTTCCCCACGTGTCCCATGGAAAATCACCAGCCATCTTCTCAGGTATCATGAATCCATTTAACAAAAACCAAGCTGCCCCCAAGTTCCTAGGTCTCTCACCAGGACCCCCCGTGGGGACACACAGCGCTGCTTCTCCTTGGTCTGGGCGGGGAAGAGTTAGGCGGGTGCGGGAGGACCCAGATCGACCAGGCAGGAGCGGAGGCGCAGTGATTTCCACCGCAGATGCGTCAGACCAGGAGGGCAGCGCACGTCACGTCGGGGCAGCGTCTGCGTCCGGCACAGGCTGTGCTGGCACCGCGGTCACACTCTAATGGGTCCGTGTGCTCAGCAACGACCCAGTGAGTGTCACTGTCAACCTGTCATCCTGAAGACAGGCCAGCGTGTGGCAGACAAAATGGGGCACCATTACAGTAATGGAACTAAGCAGAAAGCATAATTTCATCCTTGCGTCGTGAGCTGGCCCATCTTCGCTTAGAAGTCCTGTTCACCACCATCAAGAAAACCAACCGGGTCTGCCGAGCAGGAAGAGCAAGGGTGCGGAGAAACTCGGGCTGTGCCCGCACCGGAGCTCAGCCATGGGCTGGGGAGGCTGCCTCCTGCACGCCCCACAATGGGGATCAAGCCTGCAACCCGGGCATGTGCTCCGACCGGGAATTGAACCATGTATGACCTCTGGGTTCATAGGTCAATGCTCAACCACTGAGCCATGCCAGCTGGGCTAACGTTGGCTTTTATTTGACCTTGCTGACAGGTGTGTGTCCTTGAGCCTCCCCTTCCATGACTTCTAGCTGCTAACCCCACCCCTACCCAACCCCACTCCAGTAACACAGTCCGCGGAAATGTCCTGGAGTTGCTTGAACTCTTGGCGTGGGTTTGAGCATTCATTCCTCAGGGTGCGGGAGGCGAGTGAAGACTTGCTTGCTTTGTCCAGAGAAGCAGCTGGGGCTGTTACTGGGGGTGCCGGCTGAGGAGGAGGGGGAGGCAGGCGGACAGGAGGGGTTAGTGGTTTGGTGAGGGGATCCCCTCCTCCGGTTAGGCGGTCTTTGGGGAGACCCCTCCGCCCCCTTCTTTGAACATCTTTCTGGTCGGAGACACGTCCAGCTGCAAATGGGGTCTTTGTAATGGACGGGCCTGGCAGCACCCACTGACATCAGGGTCTGGGTCCAGAAGGAGTTCCGTTGGAAGTTGGTGCAGGCCCTTCACGGGCTGCCTCCGGCGGGGCCCCAAGGCTGTTTTCATGGTTGCAGTTTGTAAACTTTGAGATAAGCCATGAGCACAGTCTGTCCAGACCCGGAGCTTCCCCATCTCTTCCTCGCACCACGGCTGCCCTTGCACCACGGCCGCCCTCGCACCTCGCGGGGAGGCTGCCGGCACATCAGGTTCTCCTCGGAGGAGCTGAGTTGAGGCTGCTTGGCCTCTGTGCTTCGTGGGCCGGTTCAGGGCCAAGTGCTGCTGCCCCCACCCCCACCCCCTGCCCACCTCAGGACAGGTGGCCGCACGTGACCTGCAGAGTTGCTGGCTCGGCCCTGAATGCTGTCACCTCACAGGGAGGTGGGTGAACCAAGCCCAGGTCCCCGGAAGGAGAGTCGCCGGCTGTCCTGGGGCCATCAGGCCTCTCCCTGAGCCCACAGCCCCACACCAACTGCCCTGCGCACACTCTGCAAACTCAACTCTCCCAGGAGGTTCTCGGTGAGTGGGGTGGGGGACCTGGCTCTGGATGGTCATCTAACGTGTCCTGGGCTCTGGCTGAGCCCTCCTTCCTCCCCATGTGGAGCCCCTTCCTCCCCCTGCTGCTCCCTCCCTCCCCGGCCCTGGGCTCCACCAGGAAGCCCCCACTTCCCAGCCTGCCCTCCCACCAGCCTCTAGCCCTGCCCTCCCACCTGCATGCTAATATCCCCCCCCAGTGGTGAGTCCATTCAAACCAACTTCCCAGGGGGCATTGCTGCTGGTCACAGGCTCTGCTGGGAGCCCGGGAATCCACCTGTGCCGGGTGACTCACCAGGTGGGGTTTTCCTGGTGGCTGGGGC